CTGGGGTTAATAATGAAAGTTATGAAAGAGACTTGACTCCCCCTTCAGATGTCTTTCAAAACAAGTTAAAAAGAAATTACAGTGCAGGCATTTTACCAAGGAACATAGGCTACGTTCACACTGCAGGTCTTAATGCTCAGTTGTGATTTTTTTGAAAAAATCCGATCTTTTTGTGTGAACGTTCACATTACATTTTAAATGTGACCTGTATCAGACCCCTGTGTGAACGCTACACAGCACTGATGTGACATGCATGTGCAGTAAAAGACGTGACGTCTCATCAGCCGGCTTGTTTGTTTACAGAGCTAGCATGGATGCTACATTTTGCGTATTCAATTGGAAGTTGTTGTTTAATCAGAGCCGATTAAATAATTATCTGACCTGCTTCTTTAGTTCAGTGTTTATATCTGAACCTGCCTCTGACCGGGATGCTCTTTTTTTTTTTAACGAAACTACGAGCTGGACAAAAGTATCGACCGAGTAGCTAACTTTAGGATCGATACTCTCCGCGACCCAGGCTGGACATGTTATTATCAAACTATCTACGTGGAAAATGAAAAGTAAAAAGATGAAGCAACTGGACTTGTGTTTTGGAGCTGTAAACACATGGAGCTRCAGATTTAAACAGCGAGACTTGAGGTTAGTGTCTTATCGATCCTTCACCCCTTCCTCCTGATGAAAAAGTCAGATGAATGTGACATGAGCGTTCACACTGCAGTCACTTTGAAAACATCAGATATATATCCGATTTAAAACCACATACTGAAACGGCCTGGGTCAGATTAGAAAAAATCGGATTTGTCTCGTTCAGACTGTCATAAAAAAATCAGATATGAGTCAGATGGGTCAAAAAAATCGGATTTGGGTCRGATTTGCCTGCAGTGTGAACGTAGCCATAGATACAGGGAAACAGAAATGGACGCATGGGGAGGAACACAGGGAAACATGGTGATGACCCCTTCTTCAACCAGCAGCAGAGACAGCTTCAAGTCACTGTTCTTTTGTGAATCAGTCAGGAACTGAACGGTTTGAGAACCTCTGGTCAAACATCCAAACAGTATAGCTTTAAAAGAGTTTGAGTTGTTTAATTTCTTCTAGTTGGGCTAAAGGAGTAAAGCAATTTTACTATTCAGTTTTGCTGCTAAGTAGTCATTAAATCTTGAAATGAGCAATCAGCTTGCCAAACTCTGTGAAAGTCCCATTGTTTTCTTTTATCAGAAGTGTTACGGCACTTAAACCATCACAGAGGAGCCCGTTGATGTTGCTCCGTGTTACTCAAAGCACATTCTCACAACAAAAAGGCTTGACGTGGGTCCAGCGAAGCTGTGACAACCTACTGACAGGGTCTATCATTAAAATCTGAAGGCATCAACTCTCCATGTTGACAGGATGGTGTCCTTGTTGTGCAGTTTTGTGTCCCTGACAGTCTTTTTTTTTCTCTTGTGCAACATTCTTTACAGGTTCTGAATTTTGTCCAATTACAAAAAAAAAAGCTTGGAAATAAAGTGAGCAGTATTAGCTGAACAAAATGTGCCTATGGTTATACGAACACGAGCATTTTGCTTCAACCATTAAAGGGTAGTTATGTAATTCCTGACTTTACTCAGTAGGTTTGTGTTAAATTTAGCATAAAACTCTTTTTAAAGTACCGTTAAGTACAAACAAAACCAAATACATCTTCCCCTAATGCATCTTAAATCAATTTTACCACCAATCAATGTAGATAATACACCACTTAGACACAAATTCCCACTCTCTGACACTTTCCTGGGATTTTTTTTGTGTAACTGAAGGTTTTTGTGTCCAATGCTGCAATTCAATTATGAAGCAGTGCTCTGTAACAAGGTTGCATTGACATAATCAATGAAAACAATATACGAAAGCCTCCATTTTTTTTGCACATGTTGCCGAAAATGAGGCAAACAGAGGTAACAATTCATGATTTATTGAGTTCAAGAGGAAATCAYACTATTCACTCTCCAAGAAGTTCAATTTTTGAGAGATCTTAATTAAAAAAATGTTTCAGCGATTCATGACACAGGCAAAGGAGTCACCCTGTAAAGATTTTGGCAGCTAATGCAACTCGGTAACTGGAGGTTATCACAGCAAAGCTGATGAATTTTTCAGTCGTACTGCACACAAAAAAGACAGTAATTTTGTTTTAACGCCGAGAGCTGCCTCTCAGCTACTTGTAAGTGTTGCATGGAAAAAGGGTCGCGTCTGCCTCGCTGAACTTGGCTGCGTTTCAGACTAGTGTGGGGGAGGATGAAGGCTCGCAGCCCCCCGCTTTACTCAACGAAGGAACAAAGGCCTCCCAACCCACATCTGTAGAGGAAGATGAGGGGGATCGAAGCGCGGCRCCCACGTGGTGATGGGAGATGGCAGAGGGGGCACCAGACACACTACTCGAGTGTGTTCCACAGGGGGAATTTGCTTCATAAACAGACACTACTTACAGGAAGAATATGCAGTTTGCACCTGTTTCTAAAGGATTGTTTTCCATTATTTTAAGTTCAGAGAAAGAAAAAGATTTTAAGTGTGCCAGTTCACCAGCATTGAAGCACACATTACACATTACATTGCATTGTTGTACTATTCACCTGTTAATTTTCTGTTTCTGTCAGAACTTTTCTGCTGTTTTGATAAAACCCACAATACATACATCCAAACTTGTTAATAGCGATATGACTTTACCTTTTGGTTAAACACTTTACAATAAGGTGCACAAAAATTGCTTAACTACTGAGGAATGACTTAGTAACTACTCAGTAACTCATGAGAAGTTGACCAGTACTTACAGTATAGTCCATGTTCTAGGGTGGGTCACAATACACTCCCTCACTACTGAACCTCTCAGGTATTTCCATGTACCCTAGGGTCCATTCTTTCAAAAAAAGTCATGTTAACAGAAAAAAAAGTTTGGTCTCACCCTTTTCCAGTGTGACCATCCAACTTAGGGGTACAGGAATCTAAACTGACAATAACTTTGCTATAGTGAATGAATGAATGGAACGGAAAAGGGTAGGGTGCCTTCTCTGGCTCGGGGAGGAGGTCCTGCCCCAAGCTGAGGAGTTTAAGTATCCCGGGGTCTTGTTCACGAATGAGGGAAGAATGGAGCGGGAGATGGACAGGCGGATTGGTGCTGCGTCTGTACCGATCCATCGTGGTGAAGCGGGAGCTGAGCCAAAAGGCGAAGCGCTCGATATACCGGTCGGTCTACAATCGGTCTCATCTATGATTACGAGCTTTGGGTAGTGACTGAAAGAACGAGATTGCAGATACAAGCGGCTGAAATAAGTTTCCTCCTCAGGGTGTTTGGGCTCTCCCTTAGAGACAGGGCGAGAAGCTCAGTCATCCAGGAGGGACTCAGATTAGAGCTGCTGCTCCTCCACGTTGAGAAGAGCCAGTTGAGGTGGTTCATCTGGTTAGGATGCCTCCTGGACGCCTCCCTGGTGAGGTGTTCTGGGCATGTTCCACTGGGAGGAGGCCCAGAGGAAGACCCAGGACACGCTGGAGGGACTATGTTTCTCAGCTGGCCTGGGAACACCTTGGGATTCCCCCAGAGGAGGTGTTCCAAGTGTTAGGGAGAGGGAAGTCTGGGTCTCTCTGCTTAGGCTGCTGCCCCCGCGACCCGACCCCGGATAAGTGGAAGAAAACAGACGGATGGATGAATAAATGAATGAAACTTTATTGATCCCATGAAGGGAAATTACAGTAAAAACCAACCAAAATTAAAAAACAAGTTATTAGCAGATTTGTATAGATTAGTTCTGCAATTTTAATGACATTTCATTAAACAAATAAGCAAACAATGATGTCATCGGGGGGTCAAACARTCMCAATCCCAACAGAAGATGAAGATTTTCATATTTTATCTGAGTTTACCAAACAGACCCCAAGTATTCAACTTTGCATTTTCATGCACCTTAGGATCTACTTATTCAGAAAACAGCCTGTTAATAAAATAAAGCTGGTAGTTACTACTCCACAGGGACCAGCTTCTGACCAGAACGGGATGTTTTAGTTGACGTTAAACACAAAGTTCATTACAACTGGCCCTTYGAGGGCAACCATGATGCTCACATGSCYCYCTGTGAAAATGAGTTTGACACCCCTAATGTAACTGTTTCTGCTATTTGATGCTTACTTTGTAGTTCACATTTGCCTGTCTATTAACAACTACTGCACTGATATCACAGCATTAGAAATATTACAATAAACAATTGGTAGAACGTATTTTAAGACCTTGATTGTTGGTGGTATTAATATTGCCAACACATTAAGCAGCTAACATTTACACATCTGCCTGTCGATTCCGTGACCTCTATCTTAATCTGAGCCCTCAAATGTTCTGAAATACACGTATGAAATGTTTATTAATTTTTCATAGAACATGTTTATCCTTGGTGTGGAGATCCAGCTGCCCTGCAATAAATRTTTTATGCCTAGAATGTGGATGTAGACGGCCTCTACGCTGCTGTTGCAACCCAACTCATAGGTTGCAACATACTGCATAATAAACTGAAGTTTTAAAAAAATWATGAGTTTTTTTCCCCCTTTGAAAAAGAAAACCAAAGCTGAAATGTAAGGTATAATACATAARTAAACACAGAGCTGATGCAGTAACAGCATTTTGACAATGTATGTATGATGTGTCCTTGTGAGGGTTCATCTGATCTGATTCTCCTTTTGCTTTTTTGTGACGGAGTTGAAGCTCCTTGTAAATATTTACTCATCACACAAACATGCTGTGGTTTTTATTTGAAGATATTTAGTGGACTCTTGTTTTAGCTTATAAAATAAAAGAAAAAGATAAATGTAAAGGCCTGAATCAATTTACTGCCTGTAATGAGGCCATTCATCAGCTGAATGGACCATCTGAGAACGGACTAACTGTACCGTCTCCCACAGAGGCAACTCACATTGCCCCCGAGCCCCCCAGCTGAGGGGGAGTGGGGGACTTCCTGGGTCACTATCAGCCACAGCTGAGAAAGACTCACCCATCTGTCGGTGCCACCGACCCCAACATCCACATATGTGTGCACTGCGGGAAGGTTCTGTACCCGATGTGACGGCCGTCTGAGTGCTCTGCCGCAGTCTGCTGAAGTGACGTGAGGTTTCGACCTTCGAGGACCAGAACAGCTAGTATGAGGAAAAACTGCCATTAATCAATTAACAGTTCAGGAAATAATGAATTTTATTGAACACCTCTAATTTGTCTAAATTTAAGATGTGCACATTGTAGGACCAGGGTAAAACACACATTTTCAACAGGTGGGTTACTCAAAAGTCAAAACCAAAAACATCAAAATCTTAAGCTCCTGATTTACTTTGTTATCTTGTTAATAATCCTGCTCAAAACTACAGTAGAAGTCTAATGCAACGCACAGATTTCATTTCTTTTGGAACAGATGTTAATTATGGAAAGCTGTTTCATTCAAAGTACAATAAATAAATAAATAAACAATGTAATTAAAAAAGTATTAATAAATATTCCATCAAATACATAAATGTCCACATGAAAAAAATTATGACATTTTTAGCATGTCTTTATATTATTTATTTATTTATTACATATTGTAGTTTTATTTTATTACATTTTTATTTTGTAAAGCTACTTTACATGTTTCAGGGACTTTTATTTTGAACACCCTTTTCATTTCATGCCGTTTTACTATTTCAGGCTGTTTTACTTTTTCATGGCGTTTAATTTCATGGTCCAATATGCAAAAGAGTATGAAGAGYCTTTTCAATTATATGATGTTTGAGTGTCAACATATGAAAAATAAATTCTAATTAAATCACATTTTACTGGTAATGTCACCATCAAGGTGTCTTTTACAATCGAGATCTTTTTATCGTAAAAGACAAGGTGGTAAATATTGATGTTTTCTTAAAAGGTTGTATTTGATCAACTTTTACCTCATTTATTATGTTTGTTTTCACCACTCCCTTATTACTTTTATAATGTTGTGTGTATATATATATATGTGTGTGTGTGTGTGTGTGTGTGTGTG